TGCTTCAAATGATTAAAAAGTTGAAACGGAAAATTTAATACTTTAGTGTGATTAGATCAGTTGTCTGATAAATGATCAATCAGAAGTGTTATTTTGAGCATTCCTCTGTGATTTGACTGATATTAAGCAATGCGCAGATTGAAAAATGCGGGTTAAGTGTTTTTTTATCACAGGTCATATATGCTGCTTTTAGTATCGATTCCTGTTGAGGACGGTATTTCTTTTCTGTAACACCTACCGTTTACAGTAGAACAATGTTTATGTTGTAAAATTTTTTTCAGATTGTTATTTGTAGGAGTTAACCGTACGACAACAACTGTTTGGTGAATAAATGCTAATCTGCTTCGAATGTGTGTATACCATGGTGAGTCTGACTCTCGATATAAAAAGAAGCAGCACGAGTATAAGCAGTGTAGAAAACTGATCCATTGAACTTGTAGTTACCCTCCGGTAAATATATGCATGTAAACTACTTATAAGCAGATAGGATACTATAAGCGTCATACACGTTTTTAGTCCAACGTTTGGTGTAAATCCATGTATATGTGCATGCTAGGTGTTGGGAGTCAATCCGCAGGAAGATAGATTGCTTATCCAGTGGTGTGCAATTCTTGTCCATAGTCCCGTTCTACATCGGGTCAACCTTGACATGATTAACTTAATGCTAACGTCTCACTTCAGAATTGTGGGATATGGATTCGACGTCTGTGAGGTGAAATGAAATCCCTCGAGGTTTTACAAATTTGACTTGTTGACGGGTGCCAACCAGCTTAAAACCTAGGTTAATAAGGATCACCTACTTGCTACCTCTAATGTCTTTTCACCGGTAACTTCCTAACTTTTACACTTAATTTACACACGTTATCGATTTGAATTCAGGAAGGTATTCAAAGTTATTTAGCGGCCTACATTTTTGTTCGTCTACTGCACAGAAATAAGTATCTCTGTCATCATTGTATTTACCATGGTCATTGAAATCGCCTGTCGTCTCATCTTACATTCCATTTAATAAGCCTAAATTACTTGAAAGTGAACTTCCCTTCTCACTATCATCGCACAACATTTTTGACAATATTTGACCTTTTGTTTAGTGCAACGTGTTTCATCTTTAATCCGAAAGAGTTTCTTTAACTACTACATTTTTTGTTTCTTGACATCGACGAACAAGTCATGACTGTATTATTAACTGGCTTTTGTCAAATTACAACTAGTTTCATTTCTTTTAAAATTTTCCAGCCCTATTCAGTTACCACATTGATCATTTGATATGCTCGTTTCGCCTCAATTATTGACCTTTGAATTTGCACTATTAAGTGGCTACTGTTCAGATGTTTGGTAAATTATAGTGCTGTGGTAATAAAACACAGTTTGAGAAGAAATATTTCACTATGCACTTCTCCCGTTTTATTGAACGTCTGTCTGCTGATGAAATAGTTCCATATCAAATACTAAATGGGTACGTCAGAGGTATACCAGTCCTACTGAAACTTCATTTGCCGAAATGTTTTACCATCCATGATAAGTTCTCATCTATCGCTACATTTGTGTTTTATTTAGGTGATGATCGCTTTCTTCATTCTCTTTCTATCATATGTTTCCCCAACTTCAGACTGGCTTTCGCCATCGTACGCCACCTGTAACGCCACTGTGATATCCGATTGTCTATTAAGGGTCGCGTGTACTGAACAGCAGTTCGCTCTGTTCCAATCAATGACTGTGAAACATGGCCATCAAAGGTGGAAGACATGAGAAGACTTCAAGTGTTTGATCACTGCTACTTTCGTAGTATAGGCCGTATTCCGTGGTGTCACCACATTAGTAACGCAGAAGTCAGGTGTAAAGTTTTAAGGAGAAGACGCAAGTAAGTTGGTGTGGTTGTGAACCTTCATCGACTGAGATGGTTGGGAGTCGTGTTACGTACGCGTAGTCACCGATCGCCTCATCACACAATGTTGGCCGAAGTAGGTTCAGGCGACTGGAAGAAGGCTTGACGTGACCCGACTAAAACATGGCACGAGTGTATGAAGTCTGTGACTGCTGGTTTGAGCCATGTGGCGCGATGCAGACTAGCTGGTTGGGGTCTGCGGGGCAAGAGAAACGAGAAACGAGTGGTTGGAGACTCTAGATGATATGGCTTAGAACCGATGTTAGTGGCACAGATGTATGTATACACACATTATCCTCATCTTAACGACACTATACCGAATCTCACCATTTTCTCATTCTTCCTCTCTCTTTCTGAGTACTTTATATCTCTTCTGACTGAATTTCCTTTATCTTCTACTTCACTGCCTTTTTATTTCATGTAGCGATATGAGGTGTGGCGACTCGGACCGTTAGGTAGTAACACCTGGTCCTATGTTGACTTGGATGGATGGATGATTGAAGAGCTGATTTAAACAGTGTGTTTCATTGAATCATTGCATTTGATCGATATTTTCTCAAAACGTGTGGTCATTGAATTACACTTTAATTTAATTTGATGAGGACTTACCATATTTTTATCTCGTGTGCTTCCCTATGAAGTAACTTGATAAGTCTCATTCTCGGAATTTCTTCTTCTTTTTAGAAGAATTTAATTTTGTTCTTCTACATTATTCCGTTGCTTTGTTAGTCTGATAGATGTGAAAACACCTGTTCTACACTTATTCCAGTTTTGGCTTATTGGTCCAACCTTCAAGCAGTTGGCTACAGGTTAGATAAGAGCTTCACATACCGAGGAACGGGCGACGGATCAGTATCACTTGACCTCACAACCGGTATGGTTCATTACCTACTGTACGGAGGTGCACGTGTTTTGCTGAGTTAAACACTTATTTATAAAAAATTCTGTTTACGGCGATAAATGTCTTGATGCAGTTCGTTCGTTCACTTATCTTTGTTTACCTGTTGTCGAATATCCTCTAAGTGATATTGTGTTTGGTGCAGATTGTATCTATTTTAACGTACAAGTTTCGGTCCACAGGAAATCTACTTAGGTGCTTGTTTAATTCTGAATTACTTACTTTACCGCAGTTTTTCTTCAGTGTCAACGAAGATTGGGCAACTGTATATTTTAGCTAGTTCAAACGGAAACAATCCTTTAGTAAAGTTAGTACTGTCCTCCCTAATTTCTAAGTACTACAGCAATATCAGGTTACACAAGCCTTTTGTCCAGTCTATCCCAAAAGAAGAATTACACATCATGCCTACCTACATATATGAATATCTCTTCAATCTGACTGCGAAACAATGACTTAAAGCGTTATGTAGATTAGTTTAGGTCATCATCCTTAAAAGATGCTCACATTAACACCCCCATAATCCTTCACAACGTTTGAACAGTTGAGTCAAATCCAATTGCACTTATGTCCAACTTCACTCATAACAAATTTCGTTGAAGTGGGTCAGTGGAGTATATCTCGCGCCCATTATATATATATATATATATATATATATATATATATATATATATATATATATATAACGCTGTGGAACAACGCCTTCAGAGGTAGAGGACATATGATGGCTTCTAGTGTTCAATCATCTTCGTTACATAGGTTGTGTCATGGTAATACAGACGTCAGGTTTAGAGTTCTAGAGAAGAAAGTCTGTCAGTGAGGTTGTGACCCTTCATCGACTTAAATGGCTAGGGCATGTGTTACGCACATCTAGTCACCATATGCCTCCTAGCACGATTTTGACTGAAGTAGGTTCATAGTGGAAAAAGACTCGGGACGGGGAGACATGGCATCTGTACTTGGAGTATTTGACTGTTGGTATGAGCAGTGTAGGGAAATGTAGACTTCACGGTTGGGGTCGGTGTAACAGCAAAAACTAGTAGTTGGAGACTCTGGGTCACATGGCTCAGAGTGGATGTAAGTGTCGGAGATGTATCCACATATTTTCCTCATCGTAGTCTTCTTACTGCATTCATTATTTCCTTATTCTATCTTTCTATCATTTACTACTTCTACTTTTGATCGATTCTTATTTATTTTGTATCTGTCATATTAGTACTTTCTCGCTTGATGTACCGATAGGTGCAGCAACTTGGATTGTTATGCAGTAAGAATAGTCTGAGTATAGGTGCACGTACTTGGTTGGATAACACGATAACACCAATGATGGATGCTTTTTTAGAAAAGCGTGAATAAAACCAAAGTTACATTTTGGTGTTTTAACTGCATAGTTGAACCTCATGGTACAGCTTTCATCGTTTTATCGCCTCTTATGTTTCCGATCGATTAAGCGGCTAGTAAACTGAGTCTGTAAATCATCATACAAGTGCTCGAACACCTGTATCAATATTGAATGTGTATCACGCATGCTATTCATTCAAAGTAAACTATTTGGAAGAATACGTTGTCAACTCTGTGAGTGGAATGTGAAAATGTATGTCATGTGTTTTGGACTTGTGGTAGTACTGGTAGTGGTAGTACTTCAAAATTGTCGTGCACTCAAACACTGCAACTTTTTTGGGTGAAGTAGACAGGCGTCTTGATTGATTCTAATTAGCTCCTGTGTTACTGGTAGTTAGTTGGTAACTGTTAAAACCTAAGCATGAACATAGGTAACATTCATAAAAAGGCACTGCTATAGTGAATCTCCTAGCTTGGTGACCACATTGTAAGAATGATCGATAGAATTCGATCAGTACTCAGGACTAGAGAACTTGAGATTGGTTGCTCTCCAGTGACCACTGAGTGTATAGAGGTAATATATTTGAAGATGTTTTGTTCATCAAGCTTCATGGTGGCTGGATACGGACACGAAATCAGTTGATGAAGTCATTGAGTGTTGGTTTTAGTTATGCGTAGGGGGGGGATATGATTTTTGTGAAAACCTTAGTGTGATGTTCATGCACTTCAGTGGAAAGTTGTGTATATGGTGCTAGTTTCATTCAGTTTCCTTCAGTTCAATCACTTTTGTTTTGTTTCTTTGTGTTCCACCTATGCATTTCACAATGTCACACCTTCGAGTTAATCCACTTTTTTTCTACCGCTATTATTACTATTTAGGTATACAATTCATCACAACGAAGTTGTTGTATTGATAGGCAGTCTGACTACATGTGACCCAGGTGATATACATCAAACAATTAAAAGTTTATCGTCTAATCGGATACGTTGTTCGGTTATATCATTAGCTGTTGAAGTATTCGTCTATCGTGCGCTTGCGCAACTTACACAAGGTAAGTTAGTTTTGTGTGTATATGTAGTTGAATGTGTATGTTATTAGTTGACTTCAAAATTGTATTCATTCCGGAAGTTTTATCTTTCAGAGATATTTGAATCTTTTTTTTATTGTGGCTATTCAAATTTCAACGAGAGTTATGTTCAAATTAGACCCCACAGCAGTGTATGTCATCCATCCAGTACTGAAAAGCAACATAATAATTAAAACTCTAATATTCTGGATCATTTTTTTCGATATGTTAAGTGGTTTCCTTTGCCTATCTGCTAACTACTCAACATTATTGTAGGCAATACCTAATGGGATGTCCACTTTCTTCTTTTTGCTTCCATTAATCCAAATAACATGACATTGTATTGAGCTGTGTTCTGGTTTTAGTTTTCTAATTATCCTCTGTTGAATTCACACTTACTTTGATATAGTTTAAAAGGATTAGTGCTATGACCACTTGTTTTTATTTACTTCCGGTTTAGGCGTTTGCTTCTTTTATTTGCTGAAAATGGTCTATGAAGGAACTAACTCAGTCTTTCAGTCTACTGAGCATTGATTCAAAAATCTAAACCTATTTGATGTGAACAGAAAGATACTATCATAAGTCCTGAACCTAGTAAAATCGGCAAGGCAATGAGAATGCTTTCTTACTGCTTGTATTCATTAGTATACATGCAGTTGTTAGGAATCTGGTATACAAAGTTGCCAGGTGTTCATTACTACCAGTTTAGTAAAAGCAGTGTCGTAGAACTGATAAGAAACTTTAAAAGTAAAGTAATCTGGCTGTATGCAAATACATCGCTCGACTTTCTCCAGCCAATGAAAACTTTATAAGTTAGTGAATGATACTTGCATACATTGGAGAAACTATTAAGACTGAATTACAGGGACCGATGTCGAACTCAGTTGAAAAAATGAACAGAAACTTCTAGTATTCATGTCAATATGCTTAAGAGCCAGTGGCCCTTTAACTTCACCTCACGCTTGGAAACACGACAGCGAAACTAATAACACGAAGTTATTTCCTTGGTTTTATAGGTGTAGATATTTAATTATCACTGTTTTCTTTTATTTTTCTACCAATAAAGTGTAGTACACTGTCCGAGGAGCTAGATATTGTTCGTATTCTAATACGTTTTCTTTGTTTTTCGTAGGAACATTTCATGTTATCATGGATGAAGCACACTTGAAAACTGTTCTCAAAGATTTAGTGCCCCCTCCAGTCGCTGCTGTAAGTAAAAATAACAAATTCAGTTATGATGAATGTTAGTTGTCAGTCGCTCAGTCAATGCCAATTTTAGAAATTTCCATACGTTTTTAGGGTAGCACACCGAAGTCGAAAACACTATAGCGAAAGATAGAACGAAATGCACTCAGCTACCTTGTGTACATCCGTTCAGTAGGCAATGAGCCATATCTATTGTGTGAGGGCTAGTGATACTAACTGGCTGCCCACACCTCGATAGGTGGGGCGGGAATCGAACCATGACCCACAGCTCCATAGAAGATAGGGAAATTTAAAAAAACGTAATCGCTGCTATAGGAGGAAAGGAAGAAAGAATAAAATCGTTAAAAGAATTATGGTATTACAATTGAGATGAAGATAATGTTTGGATGCATCTTTGTCCATGAGATTGATTAGGAACCATGTCGCTTATAGTCCCCAACTATGTGATTTCGGTCGTGACGTTCACTCACCTCAACCGTGTAGTCTACGTTTTCTATATGGCTCATGCTTACAGTAAAAGCCTGAATGGATTGAAGCCACATTTTAATTTGACCTCTGTTCTGCCTTAACCTAATTCAACTAACATCGTATGACAGGATAGACTGTGACGGTGCATACGTAATCCATTTCCCAGCCATCTAAGTTGATGAGGGTTCTTAGTGTCATCAGTTTACTCACATCTCTTGTCTAAGACTCTGCACCTGGTCGTGAAGTGACACCTCACATTTAGGTGGTGAGAAACGTATCTCAAACATTCCCAGACTGCCACTCAAAGTGTCCTATAGACTCTGCATCGTGTCTTCATGCAGCAGGAATGTGTTATCTGAGCACTTCAGATATACTAAGGGGTTTCCTATGTTAAGGCCAATCTTTGAAAAGTCAAACAACGAAAGGCAGACTTGCATAAGTACGTTTTTGATAAAGTTAAATAGGAATGGAGAGAGTGATCATCCTTGACGTATACCACGTACACTACTCATCTGGGACTTCACCACAGGTTTTGATACGTCCGTTCTGCTTAGAATATAGGGCTTATAACAGCCTGATTTACTTACCAGGCCCTTATTTCCGCGAAAAACATTGTTATGAAACCTCTCGATGGATGGAGTCGAATACCGCATTCAAGTCAAGAAGTATATGTGATATCTAGTGACCGTAAATGTATCTGTTTTCCAACATCTGGCCAATGTACCTAAAACTGTGTCTAAAACTTGCCCAGTCTTATCATGTTCACTGTTCGTGAGTTATGTCTAGTGATTATGGAACCTAGGATCACAGAGGCTATGTTCGTCAAACTGATTCCACTGTGATCACAGTAGGATTTCTCTTCTTTCTTAACGACTGGGACTATTGATGATTAAAACCAATCAAAATGCATCATAGTTGATTTCCATATATGGTGTCTGATACTCAATTTAGCTAAGAACCCTTGATCACCATTCGTAATTACCTCTGGTACTAGCTCATCAGTTGTGCCTTCCCTCCTCGTTTCAAGTTGCCCACTGCCTTCTAATCTCCTGTAGGAGTTAGGGGGTGTCTTATTTCAGTGTTCAATTCGGGATCTGATTGGATAGAGAGCAACGGATTATCAGCTGAACCCCAGTTGAACTGTTCCTCAAAGTGTTCCATCCATCGTTCAATTTATCTCTCCTGTAAGTGAATCGCATATTCTCTTCAGCTCTAATCTTACTAAAGATTGACTTGATCAATCCAAATAACTATCTGTTATCACCCGTCACTACTGCTTTTTCCATCTTTTTAGTTTTCTTTGCTGACTATTACTCACGGTAATTGTGTTCGGAGTTTATAGGGATGTGTTGGTATATATCTAGCAGTTGATTAGCTAGTATAATTCACTCACCGTTTGTTACTTTTTCTTGAGATAGAGTGACAGTGTTTAGCGTTGGTTTTATAACATAATGGATATGTTTTCACCTGTTGACATTCATTATCATTCGTTTAGAAATGGATGCTCCCTAGATAATCCATATGTTCTTCATTTTGTCAAGAAATCTGAGACGATCACTAAGCTGTTCTGGCGTTGAACAAATCTCTAGGATTGAATTATGTACACGAATTGGTCAAGAGTGAGTGAACAATGCGTTGCTTCATTCAACTAAATGGGTATATTTCAAACGTCTTCGGTAGATTTCGGTCAGTGCTGAGCACTAAAGTCTAGATAGCTGCGTCAATTATGGACTGGTGACTTATTCCTAAATTCAGTTATATTTAGGTTTAACTTTTTTAATTTACAGTTTAGTATTCAAAAAAGTCTGAATTTAGCCTCTACATTCTAAAAATCAATTAAGCCACACTTTTTATGAATGGATGCATCACAAAAGTGTACCTGTTGACGAAAATTGCTATCTTTAAGAGAGGTTCAGATAACGGGCGTCTATCAAAACCCATGGTGCACAAGTTAAAGATGATGCATGCTTGTTCTATTGAAAGACGTATCGGTTGGTGAGTATTAACATCTTTGACTGTAGCAGTATACAATGCATAGTCGGAAATTTTACGGAGAATAGTTTGTTTTTTTTTTTTTGAAATATTTGTCTCGCTGGTGCAAATCAACATAGAAGAAATCTAAGTTTATAGATTCATGCCAACTAAACAAAGTTACTTCAAATCCAAAGGTATATGAACATGAACAATAAATTCTTTCTGAAAGGTCACTCAGTAAATAATACTGTTTCAACCAACAAGCAAATTGACGTGAAATTATACACCATCACAGTGCCCAAGTTCTAGTCTTGGATTAATTAGGGCTATTAGATTTATTTAGTTAATAACTGTTGCTGACATGTTGGAAACTCTGATTTTTTAAGGTATGGCTTAATTATCAATCTTTGGCTGTAGATGAATTCACGGTCTGTGTGTAATCTCCTTTGTTCCCAGCAATCTGATGATATACTTAATGCCTTAGCAATAAATAAAATTCAGAATGTAACACGTGAACTTGTGTGTAATTACTGAATTGTTCAATATATTCGTTCAGGCTTTCTATCGCATTGTTATTTTATTATCTAAAGTGAATATTTCCCTGTAAATTGATTAATTACAAACCTTAATGTTTGTTTTTGAAATATAAGCTCCTCTACTTTCTGCTCTTATCTCCCTGATTTTATCCCTTTATTTTTTTTAAAGGCTGAAACTGAAGCTAATCTCATTCGAATGGGTAAATTATTCTACACTGTCTATTAAAACATAAATGTATTTCTACTATGTATATAATGATGATGACCACAGTATCACTTGTGTATCATCTAGTTTTTAAGTCATTGTTGATGGAGTTATGCATCCGGAAGAATTCAACGGTCTAAAAGTGATCAACTAACAAAACTGAATGAATTACCGATTACCTAGTCTTCTTCACGGATAACGGTACAGAAGCACTAATTACATCAACGGTAGATATTTATCGGAATGCTGAAATATGAAGATTTTGGATAGACGACACATCTAAAAATACTAGGAATGCTCTTCAGGCATGATACACTCAAGTTAGTCATTAGTCACTTTAGGTGTCCCCATAGATTTGTGAAACAAAACAAGCAAACATTGGTGAGTTTAGAAGTTATGCTACAAAAGCAGTCAATAAAGCATACAGTTACTGGAAGTAATAATAATCGTATTCATTGTTCACAAATTCTGTTCAGCTCTTCGCAATACGTTATCTGGCAACTCTGTTCAAACTAGACTATAAATCACACTTACTATACGTCCATCCATCCAAGTCAACATAGGACCAGGTGTTACTACCTAACGGTCCGAGTCGCCACACCTCATATCGCTACATGAAATAAAAAGGCAGTGAAGTAGAAGATAAAGGAAATTCAGTCAGAAGAGATATAAAGTACTCAGAAAGAGAGAGGAAGAATGAGAAAATGGTGAGATTCGGTATAGTGTCGTTAAGATGAGGATAATGTGTGTATACATACATCTGTGCCACTAACATCGGTTCTAAGCCATATCATCTAGAGTCTCCAACCACTCGTTTCTCGTTTCTCTTGCCCCGCAGACCCCAACCAGCTAGTCTGCATCGCGCCACATGGCTCAAACCAGCAGTCACAGACTTCATACACTCGTGCCATGTTTTAGTCGGGTCACGTCAAGCCTTCTTCCAGTCGCCTGAACCTACTTCGGCCAACATTGTGTGATGAGGCGATCGGTGACTACGCGTACGTAACACGACTCCCAACCATCTCAGTCGATGAAGGTTCACAACCACACCAACTTACTTGCGTCTTCTCCTTAAAACTCTACACCTGACTTCTGCGTTACTCATGTGGTGACACCACGGAATACGGCCTATACTACGAAAGTAGCAGTGATCAAACACTTGAAGTCTTCTCATGTCTTCCACCTTTGATGGCCATGTTTCACAGTCATTGATTGGAACAGAGCGAACTGCTGTTCAGTGCACGCAATCCTTAAAAGACAGTTGAATATCGAGTCGGCATAAGATTGCAAAAGCCTGTCGAGCCCTTTGTAGTCGTGCAGAGATTTCATCGATCGCTTGATCCTACTTCCCAGGTAAGGGAAGTGTTCAACCTGCTCAACCACCAGACTCTCTGTTGTTAGCCGCGGCAATCAGGTGCAGCACTGCAATTTACTCTGATATTTATAGTTATGTTGTTTATGATTAAACACTGAAGGGAATATTCTTTTCAATAGTTTCTTCAGGTTCCGCAGTTCTCCGCCTATGTTGTGTGAATTTGCGTTAGTAATAGTAAGGTTTCCTGTAACATTCTTAACGGACTGTTGTGAAAAACCTTTCTGCTTTTATGCAAACTTACAAATATCGGACGTATGACTGTAGAGCTTGAAGAAAAAGTTATTGAAACGAATATTCCTTGTTTATTTAAATATCTTTTGAGTTATAATGGGGATTTTCAAGGAATCAGACATTTATTAGTGATGGATAATGGCTAGTAGTGGAATCCACGCTGCGCGTTTCGTCTTATTTTAGACTCGTCAGGTGGGTGTGGCTGCCTCCGAGCGAGCAGTATTGTTGCCACTAGGACTCGAACATGGGGCCGATCGCTGCTAACGCTAGAGCGTTATCCACCAGGCCGTCGAACCACGATACCCACTTCTTGTGCAATCTGTATATTTTATATGATGTTAGTTCTATTATACTATCATTGACTGGAGGAAATTGGTCAGTCTCTTCGCATATGGCCTCCTGGGCGTAAACGCACGTCCTGGATTTCACCACTAGCCAATATCTATCTCTAATATCTAATTTGAAAATACAGGCAATATCGAAGAATCGGCGCATGGGACCAGACGCCAGAAAATACCGACCAATGAGGTACAGTCAATGATGGAATAATTCAAGCAATGTTATGTCAATTTAGTCATTTATTTTGAAGAAGGCTGTAATAATTCAGGTACCTTCAAACCCAAATGATAATATACAGTCGCATTATTCAAGTTATCTTAAGAGTTAATTTTCTGGTGTTACTAATAAGCTTAATTCTAGTTTTCATTACAAGTCAGTAGTCGCACTGAGGAAAATCTACATCCTAAAACTTATAAATCCTCACTCATGTACCCAGTAAGTACTACTTCGTCTTACTGTACTCCATAGTTATCACTGGTGTGTGATAGACATTGATTGAGGTTGAAATTGCCAACCAACAAGTGATTTTACATAGGTTGACGAAAAAAATTATGAATCAAGGAATTACACTATCCTATCAAGATTTTTAGTTCAACGGTCGAATTAGTGTAAACTATATTCAAATTGTAAATTGTTTAAATGTAGATATCAAGTCGCAACCTGGATTCATGAATGAAATTATTTAAAACACAAGCACAAATTTTATTCATAATTCTGTACCCAAATTGCCGTGTTTTTTTCCGCAGACAATATTATGTATAGAATAATTGTGGCTCAGTGGTTTAAGGAGATGACTATCAACCAGTAGGTCACGGGTCCGAACCCTGCTCAACCTCACGAGATTTAGGCAGGCAGATAGTTTCACTAGCCCTCACACAATAGGTGTGGCTCATTACCTAATACACGGTTGTTTGTTCATAAAATTACTGTTATCTGTAGATTTCATCATTTCTCGTTGCTCAACTTATGCAGTGCATTCGTTGGCCTCATTTGTCTAGTGTGTTTTTGTACAAGTGTTTCAATTCTGTAATAAGTTGCCGCGTTATATTTGTCCTGTAATCATTAATAGTGGAATTCATGATGCTTGTTTCTTCTATTCCAACTGAGACCTGTCAACCATACTTCAGTGCTCATTTTTGATTACTTCAGACTTGATTGGTCAACCTCAAGATGTTTATTTTTATGAATTGGTCTTATATTACTTTTTAGCAGATATTTTGATTCGTTTCACTTGACTTGGTCACATTTAGTAGCTCGACTTAAATACAGAATCCTAAGTTAGGTCTAGCTAAACCTAATTTTCTTTCTTCCTAGAAGCAGTTCCTTCACTTATTGTATCCCGCAGCACTCAGCTGCACTCTCTTTTCATGAGTTCGTCACAATAAGTTTCCATTTCACCTGATTTCTTCATTCTTTGGTTTTCATCAGCCATGATGAAATTGAATTGATATACTTCAAGATTTTGGGTATATGTTATTGTAAATTATGACCAATAGTGACATTTGTTTAAGTATTCTTGTTATCAAGTCTTTTTGTGAAAACATTCACCTAGCATTGGAGTTAGGCATAATGAAGGAACGATAGAAATGAATTGATCATGATAATTCATCCCTTCATTTATCTTCCCTTGTATTAATTTTGTTGTTCCGTTAATCAAAGAAATAAGCCTTTCAAACGATATTTTAAGACGATTCATTGATTCCAAGATATTTTTTCTGTTATCACAAATTGATATCAGTTGGAGAACCACTCCAAAAATGACATTTCTAGACTTGATCCATAGTTGGGTCTTGGGTGTTCATGACTGAGGAGTCCCAATCTTGGACGCGACCGCTGATCAGTGCTCTCAGGTGTACTAAGGTTTTCCAACAATTGCCACTTCGCCATAAAAACTAATTTCAAAGTCATATTTGTTATTTCTCCTGTTCCAATAACAATATAGGCTGTATGACTGTTAAATGTCGTTCCAAACATTTAAATAAATTTGAATTCATTTATGGTATCAATGTTTTACGGGACTCCTGGTTGCAGCTCCGGATGACGCAATAGATGCTGTTACATGCTGTCTTAAGTTTTGCCTTGATGTTTGCTACCCAAGGGAAATGATCTTTCTAAGGATTGGTAGACTTTCTGCTCCTCAATTAAAAAGACTCCGAAGAGAAAAAGAAAGATTTTACAAATCGAAGAGTAGTATTGGTGTTAAAGGACTTGACTGCCTGATTAAGTCTGAAATAAAACGCCTAACTTTAATTTTAAACCATAAGATTATGTCATGTATATGTGAGCTTTTTTGTGATCTTATTGGCAAGAGAAAACTCGGAAATAAAGCCTGCGAAAACGTCTGCGCACTGAACGAGTCATTCACACGTAAACCTGCTGATGTAATCGAATCTAGCTCTTCACACATAGGAAAAGGCAGTTTTCTTAAATCCATTAAAAGATGTATTCAAATGCTTAAAATCATTAAAACCTTCACAAAGCATCGGACGAAATACACTGATGATCATTCATTCACAAACATTTCTAATGAGTCCTTTGTCAGAAATGACGTACCTACCACCTGGAAGGAAATTAAAATAGTTCTGGTACCTAAGTCCATATCTTCCAACCGGTCACAATAACCCGTCCATTTCTTAAAACAATGGAGGCTTTCAGAGACCCAAATCTATTTGCCCACAAACCCAAAAGGAGTAGTTTGGATGCTGCAGTTGTTTTACATCATAATATCATTACGTCTAGACAAAGATACTAACCATGTTAGATCTACCCTCCTAGATAATTCTTCTGGCTTTGGTTCTGTCTCTAGACTCCTTTCATTATGTAAGCTTGCCAAAGCTCACATTGAGTCCTGCATTGCAAACTGGCCTAATTCTTATTTCTCTCAGAAGAGATGCTTCACTCTATACCAAGGTAAGCACTCTAGATCGCTACTTAGTGAAGCCGGTGTGCTTAAAGGTACTGTTCTTTCTCCTTTTCTTTTCTCCTTTTGCTTGACTTATCAACCCCAACCTCAACTTTGTTAAGTACGCAGATGACCTAATAGTATCCAT